TATAAAGTCTAAAAAACATGAATGGAAGTCAATGGAAGGTCCCCACGGGGTCGAGAAACAAACGTGTGTGTGTGCGTGTGTGTGTGTGTGTGTGCGCGTGCGTGCGTGCGTGCGTCCGTGCGTGCTTGTGTGTGTTCGGGTTAAGCTCTGTATTTAGGGAGATTAGTTAGAACTAGAACAGTTCAGATGAAAAATTTACAGAAACATCCTTTTCACTGTTTTTGACGGGAAATTGTGATAAATACTGAAACGGTTTAGCCACCACAAAGAACGTCAAGGTTGCACACATTGGTTTGAATTTTGTATTTTTAATTGTACTGTACTCTTTTAGCTTTTGAGAGGTAAATTATGAAGAAGAAAGTAACATTTCCAACTTGATAATAAAATGAGACAATTTAACTGAAAACTTGGCACAACAGCAGGTTAGACATAACCTTTCTGTGTAGCACTTTTTCTTATTTGAATTTACTGAACTGTTTCTGAAAGTGTCACTGCAGCAGCCTTGAGCTTAGAGAAAAAACAAAACAAAACACATGGCTGGCAGACACATCATCTACACCGTGAGCCAATCACCTAAATCTGTGCCTAATCCTGTCACGTGTTGGAGTTTACAAGAGAACAAGGTCTGTTGACGTTTGTGAAGAAACAAAAGATAAACCAGAAGCTTGCTTGTGTTAATGTCCCACTGAAGCTTGCTCATCAAATCAACAAAAGACAAAACCTCAATAAGTTGTGTTGTCTAATGGAGCAGGAAGTGCTCAACACAATGTGGACGTGTCTGCTGTTTCTGAGGTCACTGAAAACACATTCCCCTTCAATAAGAGGCAGCTCCTAAAGCACGAAACACAGTGTTGCAGCAGCAGAAAGCAGAAGCAACAGATTAAAACATGTTTTGGATGCTGGTGCACATTCAGAAAGGTTGTTTAGAGTGAAAACGGCTGCCACGAGTGTTCCTTTTTATTTTTATTCACGTGTGAATTATAAATCCAGAGGCTCTTTGGATGACATTTTATTTACCCAACATCGCAAAGTTCTGCATGTCTTTACAGTTTGTTTTCAGTGGCCTGCTCAGAACTGAGTCACTGTGTCAACATGCAGATTTTCAGGTTTCAGAGGACAAATATGAGCTTGGATTTCTTTAGGCGCTTTGTATTTATTTCTGGGGCAAAACTACTGCAAAGATTAGCAAACAGCTTTGGACAAAACTCCTACTTTTGTGTGAGCATGTTGTGTGAGTCGGTGTCTTGTTTCTGTGGATGTTACCTGCGCCTTTGTCCAGGAAATACGCAAGCAAACAACGCATGACAGCCTGATGACAGATGACCAGAACGTTGCCCTGTCGCTCCAGCTCCATAATAACTGGCTCCAGACGCTGAACCAGGTCCTGGTAGGACTGTGGGGGGCAGACAAATAGGCTCAAATTATTAATACTAGAAGTTCAAAGTTCTTTTAGGAGTTATGAGTGAAGCTGTACCTCTCCTCCAGGGTAGCGGTAATGATACTTGTCCTGGTCTCTCATTGCAAACTCCTCTGGATATTTCTCCTGAATCATCTCATACGTCATTTCTTCACACACTCCCTGGAACAGAAACAAGGACCAGTGAGACGTGTGACAGGATTTTTTTAAATTATTTTTTTATGTTTTTGGTGTCTGAGCCTTTCAGCACAATATTAGGACACACACAGCATCAATTTCATTTAGTATCTTCCACTGCTCGTAGGGGACGTCCAGCTCCTCTGCAGTCTGGATGGTGCGTCTCAGCTGGCTCGTCCAAACCTTCAGGTCTGACAGCGAGTGCTCTTTCACAAAACCACCCAGGGCTACAGCAAACTGTTCAAGACAACATGTGAAAAGCTGTCACATGGGCAATTAAACATAATATGTTAAATAAAAAAAGATCTAATTAAAGCTCCTAACTAAACCGCTTTAATTCTGCAGGATTACCTGAAGGATTTGTCTGAAAATATTCAACTTTATCAGGTCTGGAAAATGCAACGCTTTAAAGGTGCTGGCTGGTCTTTATCTTTACAAGTCTTATATTACGTAACTGCAAGACATTTAGAAACACAAACATCTATTGAAGCACCTGCTTCCCTCTCTCCGACAGTCCAGAGTCGCCACCGATGCGTCCCTCCAGGTTGTGCTGGCTTTCTCCGTGCCGACACAGGTAGATGGAGTGGGAGTGGACGTGGATGTTCATCAGGTAATACACTATCTTACTTTGGATGTAGTCCTGCACCTTGTTGACCAGGAAACGTCGGCCGACATTGATGACCTGAATGAAGGACAAGTTCCTGTGGGTCAGACAGAAAAGAGAACAGACAATCAGAAATATCTGCTTAAAACAAAAACTCAAGGATAAAGAGGGAATATCTTGTACTTTATGTGTCAAAAAACCTTGGGTAATTCCTTCAACTGATTCCTTACAAGTAAACGAAACCATTTAATAAGTTCTTACTTAGTAAATAAAACAACATCAAAGGAGAAACCATCAGGCAGATCATCAAAAAACACTGGTTTTAGTTTTAAATGAGCTTCTGTTTCCACCTGCTGGACAAAACTTGCAAATGCAACCCTTTTCAAAAAATGTGGACATAAACGACACATCACTCTATCCCAAGAAAAACAGCCCAACAAAATTATTTTCGTTTTATTTAGGTTAGAAATTAAACGTAAAAATTGCAACTATAAAATAGTTCATTATAATTAGAACATCTTACTTGTCGTGTTCATCGGGATCTAAAGGCTGGTAGGTCACTTTGTAACACTCTATTCTCTTCAGAAAATCATCCATGACACTTTCTCTGTTCCTCTCAGGGTAATCTGGGCTGGACACCTTCACTTCCTGTAGGGAAGAGATGAGATCACTAAATATTCCAGTTTCAACTGTGTGCGGTCAACAGTAAGCTGAAAAGATTAAAAATAATTCAACAAATATTACCATGATATTTTCAGCTATCACTTCTGGATCATCACATACTGATTCAACAAAAAACACCTGCCAGAGGACAAAAACATTAAATTTGAACATTAATTTAAAGCATGTACTTGTATAAATTGATGGTTGAGATATAGTGTATCTGTAACTGCTAAAAAAAAAAATCACTGAAACCTTTGACTTTAAAATACCATGCACTTTCTAAAGTCGCCAAAACTTCAGCATACACTGAAATAAAACTGTAAACTCTGAACAGATCCTGTTTTGTTTCTGTGGGCCTAATTATTGGCGTGTTTCTGACCTTGTAGGCGTTTTCCTGTGCAAAGTTAAGGATGAGGTTTCGCCTCTCTCGCGTGGTGTTTGTGGCATCAAAAACCTGTGGGACAACATGTGACCAGTTTTGTAAATCAAACTGAACTTGACATTTATTAACAAACAATGTTCTACTTGTGTCTTGTGTGTGTGTGTGTGTGTGTGTGTGTGTGTGTGTGTGTGTGGCTTTTCTTGTCTAGAATGACATTAAATTATCACAACCTATATTTACAAATGTAAAACAAACACATTTCCATTTTTGTCTTGAAGCAGCCATACTCTTTTTTTCTTTTGTGTGTGTGTGTGTGTGTGTGTGTGTGTGTGTGTGTGTGTGTGTGTGTGTGTGTGTGTGT